CTAACGCCAAACCATGCGTCTGTCTCCATGACAATATCCCACAGCTGCTGCTTGACAGGAAATCTATTAGCTATTTGCCAGAATAATAGAACTGAGACACTTAGTGATATCTGACATGAAACTGTTCACACCCAACCGAAACCACAGGAAAGCAGGGAAAACTTGGCGCCTGTTTGGCAGGATATCCAGGCCAGACAGCTACAGGGGGCAGTTTAGTTCGTTGTCTATCTTAAGCTGGGACTGTGTGCATGAATTCTGGAAAAAATTAAAGACTGTTTTTAAATATAAAAAAAAGGGCCAACGAAAAAAACAATCGCTTCAGCTCTGTTTACCCAGCAGCAAAATGTTTTCCGTTTTGACGGTTTTACTTGGGGAAATTCAGCGAAGAGTGAAAACAATAGACACTCTACTTGCATTCGCTATGAGCAAAATTAAGACTGGACCAGCACTACAGACCAGTCTGAAATATCTTTGTGAAAGCGGCCCCAGTACAAACACCACCTGCCTGTTGACGCCTCACCTCCAGGTGTGCTGAGTAAACTTCTATCACTTACTGTCCACGGATCTTGGACACGTGCTCGAGATGCAGGAGTGGATGTCGCAGTTCTTCCTGTAGACGTCGGCCAGCAGCTCGCCGAAGTAACGCGTGTCCATCTTCGCCGCTGGGCACCTCCTGTGATGGGGATCTTTTCATCGGCTTCTGCTGTATGACGTTGACGATCTCCACCTCTCCACCTCCACCGTCTCCTCCTCCTCCTCCTCCTCCTCCTCCTCTTCCTCCTGCAGGGAGACAGATTTTTTAATTACTGTCTGTTAATAAGTTCTGTTTGAAGTTAGCACTATGTCTAGTTTCTAGTTTTAGCTCTTGACCTCCAGACTTCTATTGGTTTCCTATCATTTTACTACAGTAATTATACAGTAGTTACCTCCACCAAGGAGTTTCTGTTTGTTTGTTTGTTTGTCAGCAGGATTAACACACAAAAAGTACTGGAACCTATTTGCACATAATTTGATGGTGAATGAGCCAAGGATGAACCCTATTCAATATTGGGACAGATCCAGATCATTTACTAAGAGGAAGTCTGGTGTATGTTGACATGGGCCTTGGTGAAGGTCTGCGCTCTCCCAGTCCTCCTCTAGTTGTTTGTCTTTGTTGATGAGCCAAAATACTCTCATGTACATCATCTGTCTTGTGTGGACAGACACAAAAGAACTCCCATCAGAGCGAGCACGGCCAGCAGAGCAATCTGTGCTAGGTTCAGATTAGATAACATCTTTTCGGCTTTGCAATGAACACAGGGACCGAGACTGGGTTGCAACCATGATGTTGACAATCGCAAGTTTAGAGGAATTACAAAAATATGTGGATGGTTTTCTGGTTGCAGGCTTTCATCAGATTTTGGGACCGGGCTGGAAGCACATTAAGGGAAAGCGATCGTATTCGGAGTTCCAGTTTCAGTTCCAGTTCTTGAAACTACCCATCCACCGAGTTTTGAAGCACACCATTATCAGAAATATTATTTTATGCTACATTATTCAATTTCCTTTAACTGGAACTAAGAACCTCGACCAATCCAAGAAATCAGAACCTGAGGTCCCAGGACCTCCAACTGCCACACTGTCCTCCACCACTCCTGCACCACCTACATGTGATCTGAGCCAAACACACCCATCACCTGCTCTTATCTACATGTGGCAACAGAAACAATTGTTGCATAACCTGTTATCTAACGCCACACTGAGCAGAGCAGAGCTGAGCTGCTGTGTGTACTCCTCACACAGAAAGTACCTTCACTCTCTTCAAACACCCCGTCTGTCAAACTCTTAGTTTGCGGACAGACAGGTGGTAAACGCCGGCATTATTCATAATGTTTGTATTGTCTTGTTTCAGGCTCTTTTCCCTCTGTCTCCATGTTCTTTGTTAGAAAGCTGGTTGTTAGCACTTTATAAAAATCATTTCCTCTCCAGTTACACCCACCAGACGTTGACAACCATCTAGGACCAACAAGACGATATTATCGCTCACGTCTGAAGCCTTTCAGTTTAGGGAAGATCGGAGTCCTGAGTGAGATTAAATCTCATAAAATATGAAGGAATGAAGTTTGGCGCTTTCTTTTTCTGTGTGAAAGACTGGTTGGTTGACAGAGCCTGGTTTGTTAATTGACTCTTTTGGCCTCATTTAACCCTCATCCTCAAAATTTATCGCAGGGTGCAGCTGTTTTTGTTGCAGGGTGTGTAAACGCTAACCTTAACCCTACCTGTCCCTGTAAATGTAATATATCATGAGGGCTGGTGGACGGGTTTCAAGTATATAATAATGACATATTAATGACTTGCTCTGAGTCTGTTATAGACATTAATGTTTCTGTTGAATTAATTGCTCAGATAAAACAGGTGCATGATTTTTTTTTTCCCCAGCATGAAAAAACTAGAGCTTCTGTCCTGAAGCAAAACCAGCGTTGAGCCAGTTTGAAGGCAGAGTTTCACTTAAGATAAAATCCAGGATTTTCAGTTAATACTTGTAATGGCAACACTAAATTATCCTGATAGTAGTTTGCTACTCAAATGACAAGGAAATGTACTTTTCTGAACTGAACAAGTCATCCATGTTCAGCTGGATAATTAGCCCTACATTGTTTTATTTGGTTTTTTCTCCTGGTTTCACCTCTGCAAAGAAAAGCTTTGTCTGATGTCTCGTCTTCTCAATATCCAAAACTGTGCTGAGCAATCAAACAGATTCACAGGAGCCGGGGGGGGGGGGGATCAGGAGCTACAATTTCCCATCAAGAGAAGTTAAACACTATTGTGCCATTGGAGGGCCACCAAGACCCACACGGAGCCTGGCGGCACTTCAAGATCATGTTCAGTTTTTTGTTGACACTGTGTATGAGGAGGGTTCATTGTACTGAGAGGGTTTGTCCGCCTCTGCCAAATCATCTAATTCCAGCTTTTCAAATGTGGAATTGCTGATTTTCTGTGTTTTATATCAGTGTAAACTGAACATCTTTGTCAGCTTGTGCTCTTGGTGATTGTGATGGAGATTTTCCACTATTTCCTTATATTCCATAGATATAATGCAGTCAACACTGTCACCACCACCACTCCTGATATAGTGCCAGCAAAAACTGAACACATTATTTGTTCTTAAACATAAGGTTTATTGCAGGATTGTTTTGTTTGTATCTAATTGCTTTAGACTTTAGATGTTCCTGATAACTGGTAGTTCAGAAAACAGTGCGCCCTTTGTACCTCCCGTAGCCACGACTCATGCAGCAGGGTCAATAGCAGAAAGAGCTAAACAATGATGTCACTACTACCAGGAAACACTGGCACAGGAGTTACATTCACATTTGGAAAAAAAAAAAGAAAGAAAGAGAAAGAAAGGACACGCTACAGGAAGGAGGAACAAAACAGGCGGAGGTGCAGCTAAAAGGCCTGAAAGATCACAGGTCTGATTCCAACACTGAAACCAAAAAAGCTCAAGTATTGTAGACGGGGGTCAACGCACAGTGAGCACAAAGTGACACACACGAGGGCTGTTAGGAATTTGATTCCTGCTGGGAACTCTGTTATGTTGTTCAGGGACAAGAATGCGTCTTTTGTCTGCGCTAAAAAGCCAGTTGTTTACCTTTGCAAGTCAAACCTGACTAAATCACAGTCAGTGGGAACTCAAGCCCCTTAAAACAAGTGTTCTTTCTATCCAGACATATCCACTTGAATTGAAAAGTGGTGGAAACCTGGTGTTCAAACCTCACAGCAGGACCAAAGACTTTTTTTCATCAGGAGCTTTTATCTTCATTCTTAAACATTAATGCAAACTGAAGAGACACAGGGAGGGTAAGTTAAGTGTACACATGTGAACCTGTGCTCACATGGAGGTGGGTGTGTCCCAGCGCTGCAGGGCTGTGGCTGCCACGGTTACATGCCTGTCATTCCTGCAGTGAAAGGGAGAGTAGAGACCACAGACAAGACTTGAAGCAGTCTGGAGACGAAGGTCGAGGAGGACTGGCTCGTTTTCACCAGACATACCGGCAGCTTCCAGTTCTGACAATGAGTTGGTGCTTAAAGTTAGCATTTATCCCACTGTCATATGTTAGTAAAAAATATTGGACCTTAGACCGTGAATATCCAAAATGAATTTCCTGACAATGGAGCTATGTAAAGTTAACGGTCTGACCTTAATGTGCATGTGGTGTGTCCAAAATAAAAGAGTTCATTCTCTGCGGAGCTGGAACTCTGCCAATCACTTCTCTATGAGTTTCATTCTGTGAGTAAGGTCTCACCACTATCGTTAGGATCAGGAAACATGATAAAAATGCTCAGGTCGACTCTGACAGAGTTTAACATGCAGTTAACCTGCAGACGTGAAATTCCAGGGAACCCTCCGCAGAGCTGAGCTCATACTGCTGAGGGAGGAAAACAACAACCTCATAGTGAGAGGTCAGTGGGTTAGGGTTGCAGCAGAAGCGTGTGTGTGTGTGTGTGTGTGTGTGTGTGTTATATAAAAGGTAGACTGACCTAGAAAAGAGTGACACCATAGAGTAACAGAGCAGCCCTGGATCCAAGGAAGAGATTTTTGTTTTTTTTTTTTTGTAAATAAAAGTTGTTTTGCATCAATCTTGAACTGAAATGGCAGATTTCAGATTCGGCAGATTAGCAGATCATAAAATTAAAAAGACAATGACAAATTCATTATTTTGCAGCCCTAAATATCTATAATCGTTGTGTAGTGAAAGGGTGGTAATATGCACATGAAGTCTCTTGCATGCAACAAACCAGTGTTGCCACTCCAGCTGAAGAACTACAGTAAGAGGTTGAGTTTCATGTTCCTCTCCCTGTCTGGAGTCAGACCCTGTTTACATGTGACATGACCTCAGGTGTTATTTACAGGTAAAAGTTGACAAATAAGGAAACAAAAAGCAGAGCAGCAACTTCCTGTTCAAACACAAACAAACACGACTCATCACCGAGAACCTGACTGAACCCAGAGGACCAGTAATCAATATCTACAGCCAATACATCATCACATCACCTCTTCACCATGTCAGGCCCTCTCTGTGTGTGTGTGTGTGTGTGTGTGTGTGTGTGTGTGTGTGTGTGTGTGTGTGGTTGTGTGTGTGTGTGTGTGTGTGGTGTGTGGTGTGTGTGTGTGTGTGTGTGTGTTGTGTGTGTGTGTGTGTGTTGTGTGTGTGTGTGTTGTGTGTGTGTGTGTGTGTGTGTGTGTGTGTGTGTGTGTGTGTGTGTGTGGTGTGTGTGTGTGTGTGTGTGGTGGTGTTGTGTGTGTGTGTATATATATGTAGTCAGTGACCAGGCTCTCAGGCCTCTGTGACTGAGTAACACTAGAGGTTGTTATTGGAGAGAGAAGAGTCACCTTAACTACACAGCCTTTTGTGTGTGTTGTCTGCCGCCGCGGTGTGGTGTGTGGGTGGGGGGTGGGGGGGGGGGGGGGGGGAAATGCAGACATATAAAGATACAAGGGGGGAAAAAATGTTGATTTATACTGAAAAAAAGTACAAAGAATTCTTCCTGCACTGGCAGATTTTTATCACTTGTTTGAAGAACAAGACGGAACATGAGGAAAGAATTTAAGACCTGTTTTTAGAAGAAGGTTACATGATAGGATTCAAATTTTAATTCTCCCCAGTGACGTTTTC